GTGCAACCGAGCCGTAAGCCCTGACGCCGGCCTCTGAGAGGCAATAACACACAACGAGCACGCCAGGAAAGCTTTATGCAGTATTGGATAATGCAAGCTTATCCCAGGACAACTCAGATCCTACTGCTTTTCCTTTATTATTCCTCTCTGGCTGGCAGTGTGGAAGGCAGGACACGCTGCCCGATGCCACTTGGAACGGGGCGGTGGCCCATCTGTCCATCTCACATCCGTACCTGCTCAGACATCCAATTCACCAGTTAAAATCCTGATTTTTTTTCCTGGCTCCCTGACAGCTCAGTACCTGCACGTCCATGCCCTCAGCTAACCCTCTGGCAACTTCAAAGGTGGATGCCCAGTGCCCAGAGAGGAGCTGCCTTGCGGGCTGGCCAGCCTCCCCGAGCTGCCTGGGGGTCTTGGTACCCCCAGGACACAGACCCCGAACCCGAGGAGCAAACCCCCACAAAAAGCAGTGGGGAGAAACCACTGGATTTCAATCCTCAAAGGAGACTCAGCGCTGGTGTGCTCACCATACCCACACTCGCTCAGGTGCCCAGCAACTCTCCTGCTCTTTCCAGGACGAAAACGTCTCCTCTTCTGCCCCTCACCCTTCTTCCCAGCGCTCGAAACCACAGCGTGAGCATCACCCTCCGACCCGCAGCCCTTCCACCGCGCCAAGGAGCAGCTGGGCCATCTGGCAGGAGGGGCATGTAAGAATTGGAGGAGAGAGATGACAAATTAAATACAAACACTTCAGCGCTTGGGGCCTCCAAACAAATATGACAGAGGCTTCAGGAACAGCAAGATAAACTCAATTATTTACAGCTAAGACAAAAGCTAAAAAATGATCATTGCTCCAAGCAGGCCAGGAAAGTGCAGATGCTCCAAGGGAGGGTTGAGAAATACCATCAGGGAAGAAATTCTTGTTGGGAAGAGGTTAATGCTGAAATGTCACGGCCAAAAGGGCAGAGGAAATGACACTTCTCTTTCCTCTTGACATTGAGGGTTTTCTCTCTGCAAAATGAAGATAACAACCTTTACCTGCCTCCCAGGTGGTTTATGAAGATTCAGCTCATTAGCATTAGGCAAGCGCTCGGTGATCCTTGCAGAGGAGCTGCTGAGGGCTCTGAGGAGCAGCACCGAACACCCACGCCCACAGACCCTCGATGCAGCCGTCCCCTCCCGCTGCCCAGCTCCGCAGCAGCGGGCACCGAAAGGCCACGGTCCCGGGGCAAGTGGACGCCCTCACCCCCCTGCCGCTGGTCCTGGGAGCACCTAGGGACCCGCAGCTGGACCAGCTGCTGAGCAGAGCACGGCCCCTCTCCTCGCTGCCTTGTCCCCTCACCATCACAAGGCTGCGGTGGCTTTGTCCCAGCCGCTGGAGAGGCACACAGGGATGGCCGCCCCGAGGGAAGAGGCAGAGGGGGGGTTGTCCCAGCCGGTGGAAAGGCACACAGGGATGGCCGCCCCGAGGGAAGAGGCAGAGGGGGGGATGGAAATCATTTCTTTCTGACAGAGCTGCTGTGACAGTAAAGACTTTCGGACACAACAGCACATACGGTGGCTTCGCTGTAGGGCTGGACAGGCTCACCCGAAACGAAAAAAGCTAAAAAAGAAATAAAAAGATGCCGAGGGTGCCTGTGTCCCACGCTGCCGAGCTGCTGGCGGGGACCGCTCTGCCCGTGGGGTGCTCAGGGCCAGCGGCTGCAACGGCTCTCCCGCATCTCCCCGAGCGTGGCAGCGACCCTCTGCAAACCACGCAAGC